ACAGAAAATGTGTTATAAGAAATTTAAAGTGCAACTCTGCAATACAAAAACAAGGATAAATAAAATCGTTAGGATGGGAGATCATTCCATGTCTTCAATAGTGGCAAGCTTTAACATCTACAGATTTTCCGTTTTTTGCATATTAGAACATTTCATCAGTTGCAGAACATTCATAACGAAAACTTAGTTGAAAAGCTGTATTTCAAGCGTATTTCGTAGAATGACTCAACTTTATTTCAACGTGGAATTGAAAATTAACGTCCATGTTGGATTACAAAATGAAGATGATTAAATGATGGGAAATGATATTTAAATCGATTTAACTTACATTTGATTTTATACTGTTTCTAATAGGAAAACGTTGAACTTCCCAAATATATATATATATATATATATATATATATATATGTGTGTGTGTGTGTGTGTGTGTGTGTGTGTGTGTGTGTGTATGTTTGTATTTATAAATTTAAAAAACAATAGGTAAAACTGTAATATTAGCTGACACGTTTCGTCCAATATGGACTTTTTCAAACGAAATGAATTTATTAAAACGAAATAAATATTAATAACAAAACAAAATGTCCTTATTAACTGGAAGATGTTAGAAAACGTTATTATATTCATATTGTCAACTAAAAATTACATCAAGTACTGTCACGTGTGGAAATATTGTTTTTATTGTTGTGTTGACGGATTAAACCATTTTCTTTTGATTTCTTGATACTGTTCTGTACGTTTGGTTGAGAGAGTAGTAATTCTATTAGGAAAGGTGAAATAGAGAAATTGTATTAATAAGTATTGTTTTTTCTACAGGTTAACTATGAGAAAGTTTTCATATATATATATATATATGTATAAAATCCAAAACTACTTCAGGTAGACGAAGATATCGGTTGTCTATCTTAACCCCGGTGGGGACTGATTTCGTGTCTATACAAATAGGGGGGAAAGAAATTAGAAACTGTGAAAGCTAAAAATTCAACCTGTCGAAAAACTAATAGAGAATTTATCCATTTTAGTGTTTCAGTCAGACGAAAGGCATGTGACAGGGGTCATGTGAGGGTGGAAGTTATTTGTCTTAAAGGGAAGATGATATATAAAATTAGACCCGAATATTAAACTTGAAGATGTATAGGTGTGTGAATATTATGAAAATATGGTAGTAATTAATTTAAACCTATATTACGGAAATTTTTATATGTTTTTATGTCGACATTTTAATACTAATTCATTCCTCTGATTCAATAGTTGATTATTGTGCAACCTATTATTTTCAAAACTATCTGTAGGCTAAAATCTTTCTCCTTCAATTCCAAATATATTTTTTTTTTAAAAAGCTGTCTGGTGTTTCAGCTTAAGTTTAGAAAATCGTTGCCTAAGGGTATAAAGACTCCGTATCTATTCCCCGCGGATATTCCAATGTACACATAATTTTTCATACTTTCTTTGGGGGAAATGATCACTTGATATATAAACTTGGTACATTAGCATTTGCTCGCTACTGGACAATTCTTTTTAGATCTAAATTTACAGGACGGTTAAATATCAGGTTTGTCGATTTTCCCACCGAAATTTCTTAAAATAATGTTATTGTGTGAGTAATATATTTTATACGTTGCTGCTAATGTTAATCGTTTACCTATTGAAGATCTTACTTACAGGGTTAATTTTAAACCTGTATAGATATCTCTCTCTCTCTCTCTCTCTCTATATATATATATATATATATATATATATATATATATTGTGTATTTGGGAATTACTGCGTAACAATGCTCATCAAGTTTAAAGGAGACTATAAATCTCTACTAGCCTAAATCTAACGAAGGTTTTACGCGAAACACTCGAGTTACATATATCTCTATCTATAAAAGGCAGGATGTGTGTGTGTGTGTGTGTGTGTGTGTGTGTGCGTCTGTAACGAATGCACAGCCGAATTTTTTTGCACCAAAATTTACCTGCACATGCTCCAAGTTAGTGGGAAGGCGAAGACTGACTTTGCATTTCCCAACCTCCATCGATTGTGGAAATAATCGATTTTTTCATGCTTCTACGGCACTTTTCATGTAGTTTGCGGCCATTTTGTACTGGCCAGAGTGAGAGCTTATAGCTGGCTGCTACGAATAGACAGGAAGATTTTATTGGCCAGCGTGAGATCCAACAACAGACTGACACGAATGTTAACTAGCATGCAAAAAATCGATAGCTGCATTCGTCAAAAGTGACAAAAATTTAAATCTGCATGGCACTTTACTCCAATTGGCTCATTCGCTTACTTAAACTCAACGTTAATTCTGATTCCGCAGAACTGGGTTGGGTGTGAAAAAGTATTTGTTGTTATCATTCTTTTTTCATTCGGTTTTTCCAGTTACGAGTCCTTTTCTAAAGCTGATCGTTTTGTGTTCATTTTGTTTAGTTCTTTTTTCATAAGAGATTTAATGTTTAGTATAGAGCTTAGAAAAAATTCGCAGTGTGAGATAGGCAAGAACTAAGGCATGTAGCAACATCATCACGGAAAAGGGCACTCCTTTAAAGGCAAGGAAGAGCAAAAATATTTTTTAAGTCAAGTGATAGCGATTGCTGTATGAGTCGTACGATTTTTTAATCAAGCACGGGCAACGCCGGGTCATGCTGCTATATATATATATATATATATATATATATATATATATATATATATATATATATATATATATATATATATATATATATACATATTGACAAAAAAAAAAACTGGTCACGGGCACACACGCGAAGACTACATAACATAGGAAGTGTGTGAATGTGTGTGTGTTTATGCGTATGTATATGTGTGTGTATATGTGTGCATATCTACAAATGCGCTTACTAATTCCTCGTAATAAGATAATATACATATAAATAGGCATGCTGACAAAAACAAAAAAAAATGGAAATATAGATCTAAGAAGGCCATGAAAAGAAAAGAAGGCTATTTCTCGGACCAATCTTAATTGTTTCATAACCCTTCAGGCAGGATTATCTTTCACTGTCAATTCAGGAAGACGTTTGGGTCACTAACACACAAAAAAGAGAATGTCTTATATCGAGAATATTTAACATCGAAAAACATAAAACAAAAAAGAAAAACATTTAATATTTTTAATAATATGTGGAAATCGTTTTTCTTTGCCTGAAGAAGGTCGCGCGACCGGAAGCCAGTGTAGCAAAAATTATGTAAAATAAAGCATTTGGAGCTACTATAACCTCTTTTCCTTTTATATATATATATATATATATATATATATATATATATATATATATATATATATGATGGATTCTCCCAGCATTTGTCGGAGTATGAGTGTCTTTCAAGTTTTTAATGCTGTACCTGTCCTGTTGGCTTAACTCTCTCGCCAGTGGAATTGTTGCTCAGCTGAAATATCAAAGAAGGAACATATAACTGAACTTCAGTCTATCCACGCAGAAGATTTGTTTAGAGTGGTGAATGCTTGAGTAGAACCAACAACACTTATTGGAAAATGAAATAGCTGATAAGGGGTTGATGGAAATATTTTTTCACGAACACAATGAACAACACCCGTCAGAAAAGTACAGAGCCATTTAATTTCATCTTATTTAGCCAGCCTGCTGAAGCGATTTACAGAGATTTAGATGATGGGATAGAGATACTAATAATATATATATATATATATATATATATATATATATATATATATATATATGATGAGAAATAAAAACGATTTATTATTACTATTTATTGAGATGTGTATTTATGCCATTAGCTAGATGAAGACTTACGTTTATGCGTCAGGTATTTCTGCCGCACCCAATATATATATATATATATATATATATATATATATATATATATATATATATATGAGAATTTAAAACAAATTTATTGTAACTCTTTAACACTCAAACATTCACAAACACACACACAAACACACACACACACACACACACACACATATATATATATATATATATATATATATATATATATATATATACTAATACTATTACTCGTTTGTTAAAAACCTCAGATAGCTCAACTAGTAGATATGTCAAAACAAAACGGTAGCCAAAGAAAAAATTGGAAATAAAAAAGAAAGAACTAAAAACATCCGAACAGGGCGAAATAAATCGTCCAGTGTCTTAAGTCTTTAGTCCAACGAAATAAATCCCAAGCGAATAGTAAGACTAAACCATAGAGTGCTCAATACACTTAGTATAGTGGGAATAACTAAAATAAATCCTAAAGAGCCAAGAAAACCTACCTAGGTTTCAGCTAATCGGATCTTCAGCCTGTACACTCAAGATCCATTTAGGTGACACCTAGATAGTTTTTCCTGGCTCCTTAGTATATATATATATATATATATATATATATATATATATATATATATATATATATATATATATGGGTGTGTTTGTCGTATTTTCCATGTCGTAGAATTTCTAAATTTAAAGCCAAAGAAGACATCTAGAGATACACAACCGCAGAATATGAATAATACCAGAATAATTGGCAGAACGGAGTCAGGGTTTGGCTTCTTTTGGTTTCAAAACGTCTATAGAATTTGTGTGATATCAATAACTGATTGGTTTCCTTCGAGTTGACATGTTCCTTTTTTCCTCATCTTTTTCTCTCTTTCATTCTTTGTTTCTTTGATGCTTTCTTTGTTTCTTTCCTTGAATCTTTTGTATTTTTGTGTGTTCGTGTTGTACGTGAATAAGGTATTTGTTGGGTATGCTATCTTCCTTCATTTATTGCAGTTTCTTTTCTTTTATTGATTCAATCTTTTGCCTGTGCAATTTGTTTTTCTTCCATGTTTTTTCGCCCTTCTACAATGAACGCCTTTGGCAGCGATTCGAGCGCGGATTTCTTTTGAATGTTTCATCGTCCGAGATTTTAGAGCGTCATCAACTCGTTTTTCCGTTTCCATCACTTCTTTTTGAGCTGTGAGAATATTTTCAAATTCGACCTTCTCCTTCTTCTCCTGGGCGGCTAGAAAATGCTCTTGTTCCCGCATCCGTTGTTTGCGGGCTTCAATCAGGATGGCCCCCATTTCGGACTTTTTCTTGGCTTCCGACATCTCTTCCTTTCGCCATTGCAGCTCCGCCTCTTCCATTGCACATTTCGCGCGAAGGGCATCCTTCTAAGCTTGTTAGTCACGCGCGCGCTCCTGCATTTCGCGATTTTGCGTTCTTTCCCTAAACGTAGCTTCTCTTTCTCTACCTCAAACAGATTCCCGTTCGGTCTTTTGCCTTTGGAACTCCAAGGCATTCAATTCTTCAAGTTTTGTTTCTGTTGTCGCATTTGCTTTTTTCAATTCATCCCTCAGCATAATTTGTTTTTGTTTTCTTTTTTTATTTCTTCTTCATTTTTTTCAAGCATCTGCGCAAGTTTCTTTTGCATCATTTCCTTCTCGGCATCTTTTGCTTCCAGATCGATCAATTTCCTTTGTTTCATTTGCAAGATCTGTTCTTTGATTTGTTCGACAACTATGTATTGCTTCATTTTGGGATTTTTGTCGATCTCATCTTCGATTTTGATAGGGTTCTGTCGGTCAACTTCCATTATCATATCTAGGCGGGATTCTTCCGCCGCCATTACATCTTTAATCATCTTCTCTTCGAGTTGCGCGTCGTGAATTGCGTGGCACTTGGCCTCATGAATCAGCTTATTAAGATATTTAATTTCCTCCTCCTGTTCTTGCTTGCTTTCATACGCCTTCGACAGGGGATCCTGAGCATTGGCTTTGACATCTCCTTCCAGTACGAAAAGATTTTCTGTCTTTTCTCATTGCAAATCCTTCCTCTTAATAAACTGTTCCTGCTCGAAACGTTTTCTCTTTTGGTGTTCTGCGGAATTCTTCGATTATTCGCAGCCCTTTGTCCGTTAGAATTCGGGCATTGTCTTTAATTCGAGTATAGTCCTTCGGATCCAGCACCGGTGAACGTCCTGAAGGATCTTTGTCAGGAACCACCAAATTTCTGATGAGATTCATCATAATAATCCGTACACTCTCTTTCTCCTTGATTGGCTTTTGTCCAGCCCTTATTTTCGTCCTGCTCGATTGCGTTGTTTTGGAGGTCCCGCTTATCTAAAAAAAACAGGCAAAATGTTTATCATCACACGAGTGAACAGTTCGTCCACCACTTCACGTATATATATATATATATATATATATATATATATATATATATATATATATATATATATTTATATTGGTGAAATATTCTTGACCCGATCTACATTTTCTTTTAAAATTTTACCCAAGTTTTTATGGTGTAAAAGCATTTTGAGTTTCACTGCACATACTGTCTGATTGTATGGATGCCATTAGTTTCTATAATAATGTACAATCCAGAAATTTTAAGAATTTTTCAAGAAATGCATTTATTTAAAATTAATACTAAAATTTTAATCTCCTTCGAAGTAGGGTACTCCGACTTCAGTGGTCATGTTTATAGCGCTCCAGACGCTTCATGATACCTCACTGTCCAGATCTCCCCAAAGGGTCGGTAACATAAGCCTCTATTGCAACCTGTTTCCTCTCCTCCACTTCTTCAAAATATTAATCCGTCATAGTTTTCTGCGTCTTTATTTGCCGATATTAACACAAAAATGTATCAGAAGCCGATGAAATGTCAAAGACTGCCTATGGATTAACGATTTGTGGACATGCAGCAGATAAAAGAGGAAGTAACAAGGACTTTGGCAGCTGAAATTCTGGAGGGCTACGAGTGGGATCTCTAAAAGGGACTTGAGTGTTAAAACAAAACCATCAATTTCGAATGGTTCTATTCTGAAGGTGATTAGTGTCTTTTTTTTTAAATAAGTAAATGTATCCTATTCATCCACAAAATCCCTGGAGTGCAACTCCGATTTCTCTCAAATTTCATTTGTGATTAAATTTTTAATTTAACTTTTATTTATGACAATCTTTCAGGATAAAGTTTCGCAAGGATTCATTCAACCTCTTTATTTATCAAGAATTGTGGGATATCAATGACGTGATTTAGCGCAAAAACAAATGGATTGTTTTCAAGTGCATTAAGCTAAGTAAAATTGATCTCAGCCAAATCTAAAACTAGACATTTGCGTCCCTAGACAAATACGTCCTTGGAAAATTGCGTGCATCTGATAATTTTTTGAAGTTACCATTTTTTTAAAGAGTTGTTTAATATAGAAATTGGCACACCAGTACATTTAATTACTCTAAACAAGCCGAAAGATAGTTACCATAACTTAAAAAAGATAGAAAATTTTCTTTTTAAAAGCAAGAGAAAATAAGCTAGCGGTTTCTGTTCACTCCTGCAGTGCGTACTACAATATCTAATAGATTCTGGGTTTCATAAATTATATTTTTATTTGGAACCCATAGCTACGTTTCGAAAATCAAACACTGGTTGAAAATATTTGTGGACGAGGAAAATTACAGCTACCACTACCATAAGAAAAACGCCGATGAAACAAAAACATACTGGCGATGTGTATAGCGATCTCGCAGCATTGTTAATCTGTCATTGCATTTTAAGCAAAAAAATTATTTTATTTTTTTTTATTTTATTTCTTTTATTTATTTAAGAAAACTATGATTATTACTTTGTTTAAAATTCTGGTAATTGCCTTTAAAAGCTTCAAAACTTATCAGGTACGCAATTATCCAGGGACACATTTGTCTTGATAGGGAATTGTCCGGGACGCAAATGTCCATTAAGCAACTGATCTAGAACCCTACGAATTCATTGTATTTAAAACAAAATACATATAAAAAATAGCTGATCCTCTGTACTTTTACATGCTGAAAACATGTAATTTGAAATAACAGAATAAATGTTTACACTATATGCAATCATTCAAATGCACCCATAGAAAGTGTATCGCTTGCCTTCAAGGCATAATTTCGTTAAGATTTATCTGTAGATACCACAATGACTTAGCAATTGGCGTTTTAGCATATTTTAAATGAAGAATTATTTTCTTGTCTTAGAACTATCATATGAAACATCTCGGCCATGATAACCGCAACTAGAAATGGAGGAATTTTAAAGCAAAACGCCTGTATTAATGACTTCATATATTCTCTCAAACATACAGTAAGACATGCCAGTCGATCTGAGAATTCAACGGCGCCAAAACTTTATGAATAACTGTTAAGAAAATTACACGATATTTCAATCAATTTTATGACAAGCCGTAAGCACATGTGATATATTTCTTATATATAAGAAAGTATCAGACGTCTTCTGAAATGTTTCAGTGTCATTATTATTTTATCTTATTGCTCAAGCTATCATTGCAGTCATCTTTAGATTGCATAAGAGTTCTATGTGTGTTTTTTTTCTTATGTACTATACTCTATATTTCTCTTACTAATATATATATGCATACATATGTGTGTGTGAGTGTGTGTGTGTGAGTATAGAATTCAACAGAGGTGACAGTCTGTTTCATGCTAAGGGCTCTATTCATGATATTGAGCACTTTAATCCGTAAATATATCATATTTTAAAATTATACTTTATCATATATATATATATATATATATATATATATATATATATATATATGTTTGTGTATGTGTGTGCATTTTAATCTGAAAATTTAATATAAAGTTTAATTTCCTGAAGTAATTTTTATCATACACACATACACATGCACACACACACACACACACACAAAAATATATATATATATATATATATATATATATATATATATATATATATATATATATACGTGTATATATGTGTGCATATTTATGTGTTAATATATTGTGTACAATCAATCTCTATTTCATTTTATATATATATATATCCACACACACGTATATATATCCCTATATATATCCCTATATATATATATATATATATATATATAAATTATGCTATATCAGAAAAATGTTAGGCAATCGAATGACAATTTCGAAAATTTGTTTGTAACGCGTTTCGTTCCCTCTTAAGACTTCATCAGGCTAAAGTAATGTTTTTATTGATGGAATTATATATAGGCAGCAGTAGGAAGTGGGTGTATAAACGCGGAGGTTGTATATAATTATGTACTGAGATTAAACACAGATGTAAAAACACTGAATTATTAAGGCTTATATTTTTTAGATAAAATGTGTCATCTTATGTGTCTGTAGACTCAGTCGAACCGATCTCAATCAGTTCCCTATACTTTATGTTGTTTATTTTATCATTTGCAAGTTTCAGTATCCCACATTGTGATAATGTAAAATCTGATACGAAGTTTTTAAAAACTATAAGAAAATGGAGTCAAATTTATCATGGGTGATTTAGAAATCAGTGCACTTTCTTCATATTTTCACGTTTCTCTTTCTAAATTCGATTTAAAAAAATGCTTTTAATTTAATTAAAAGCATTTTTTTAAATCGAATTTAGTGTGAGACTCATTACGGTGAGTTACTAGTGCAATGAGTCTGTTGTTTTGCAAGAGATTAATTTTGTGTTCATATAAACTTTGATTTAAATTTCACAAGGTCTCCGCAATGAATTCTGTATTGGGGTCTTTACAAGTTATGCATTCAATTCATCTTTCAGTTTTTTTTTACTTTTGTATTAATTATGTTTCTTATTATTTTAGAAGTAGTTGTAATAAATTTTATGTTATACTGGGATGAATCATTTTCAATTACAATTATGATAGAGTTGGAATGTAGTCATCTATCTCGTTTCGTTAAGTTTTTTTCGTACATCCATTATTTCTTTAAAAAAATGATGAGATTTCTGTTTCATGTTGAACATAAAATCATTCGGATATTGGAGGAGCTAAAAATAATTTTTAATCAGTGTCTCCTCATCACATATATAATGAGGGCTACAAATTCTGATAGCTCTTAAATAGAATCCTATAATTACTCTGTTGTTATGGTGTAAATATAAAATTATGAGATCATTTTTATCAGATTTACGGTAGACATTTAGTTATATGTCACTATCAGTACGGTTTAACATGACATCGGGTAAACGTAATATATTGTTTGTTTCTCCTTTTGTTGTCAGTTCAACTTTTTATTTTATTTCCAAGGTCAAGTAATACTAATAAATAATAATCTTTATATCGGAAATATGCTGATTGTTTAGGAAAATATGTTGTAAAAGACCAGACTGAAGAAATTCTACGAAAAACACGCTATAACGATGCTAAGAGATAATCCATATTCTTGTTCATAATAATAGTTGCTACAAGAAAAATAACATTGCTTTGTGATGTGCTAATAGTTTTTATGATTTGGTAGTAAGGTGTTTATTTTTGCTTGTACTAGATTTTCTTTTATTTAAGAATTTACTCAAAGAATCATTGGTATTGGACATCTAAAATGGTCATGAATTGATCTCACATATATATTGCCTTTATTTTTTTAAATCAGGCAACCTAAATTCAGAGACTTCCTTCTCCGCTATTGACTGTAAATATTTAATCCATAGCTTGGGGAGAATAAATGGATTCATAATTTCCGCAACGTTGAATGGAACGGATTTGGTTGGAAATTGAACTCGAATCGCCGATCCAGCACTCCACATTTATAACCACTACGCAACGTTCACATCCGTATGGATCGAATAGCAAAGTTAAAAATTTGAATAAATAATCACTTTAATAAATAAGTACAGCTGGCCACTTGTATTCGCGGATATCCGTCTACTAGGGCGGCTAAACAATCCCTATTGCAAACGCTTGCTTATTCACCACCTACAGAGACCACCTGTGGTTTATACTGCAACTATGCTGAGCAGACCTTAGTTACAGTTTATGGGAGAGAGCGTGTTATCTAGAGTGAGCAACAATCTGAATAAGGCCAGCACACTCAAACACTCGGTCAGCATGACTTGTGACTTCATGCTAGTACAGCTATTGATGGCACCCAAGGGTTCCCTCTACCCAATTTCACT